TGTCCCCTGTTCACACATGGGAGGGGGAGGTTACAGAATCTGGAGATTTTTTCTCTTCAGGAAAAGGAGGGTAGAAAGGGTTTCAGGATCTAGGGCCGGCTTTATCAGAGGAGGAGGACGGCTCCACATAGGGTGCAGGTCTTATAACAAAATCTAAGGTGTCAGTATCTTGTGAGAGCACTGGCTTGGGAGCTCAGGCTTTGGCCTCTCAGGGTTCTCTTGGGGCCATAACCAGAATTCGAGTGTTTGTTCGCAGGGAACAACACTGAAACCAAGCTGGAGGCCCCTGACAAGCCTGGACCCAGATATTTATATAAGGAAATTGACCAGGATGACTAGGGTGACTGGTGACCTTATTCTATACTGCCCAACAGAGGCTCGGCTCAAAGGAGCCCTCAGCTGGCCATCCAACTCCAAAGGCCAGCCATTCCAATTGACACAAGGAGCGAAGTTTTCCGCAAGAGAATTTAACCCCATGTTCGTCCTCCTGCTTGGGGGAAAAAGCCAATTTAAAATTAGTAAGAAAACAGTCCAATGGGGTAGCCTTGGACCAGGATCCTCCCATCTCTGCCCTTGATGGTTTGGAAAGAAATAGAAGGTTAAACACACAACGGACAGGTCACTAATGAATGAACAACAAGACAAACAGGCGCCACAACAAAAGTGAAACTGAATCTTCCCTTGTTCCTCGTCAGGAACCTTGGGGTCAGGGGAGACTCCCCAGCTCATCAGCCACCTCACTCCTGGCTTAACAAATGGTTGCAACCAGCCACAAAAACTTACCTCTGGAGGTTTTCTGAGGTCTGTGCCTGAGAGTCTCCTGCTAGATCCTGCTACAGAGTCTTGGCTGAACTGGGGTTCCTGCCTGGGGATCTTGCTGGGGCCTCCAAAATGTAAGACTGTTGGCCTTACCAAACACTCCGAGGAGCTGACTGCAGTGAAGAACACCTGGGAGGGAACACACCAGACAAGTTGGAAAGTAAAACAGACCTTTATTAGTCTGGCCAGACGGAACTCCCAAAGCAAAGTAGCTTAGAGAGGCAACTGGCTCAGAGTCCGAGGCTGTTCTTGTAGGGGGTTGAGGAGGAGGTTAACATGTAGATTTACGAGAAAAGGAAAAAAGGTTAGTGGTTGACTATCACATACCGGTGGTCGGCACACACACACACTAATGGTCACGACCATCATGTACTGATGGTCGGCAGACACACTGATGGATTGTCCTACAGATAGTGGGTCTGGGAACATCCGTTCTCTGGACAAACAAGGAGTTGAGTAATTTACTTTTAAAACTCCATGTCTGTTACAAATTTTATGTAGCTTCCCACAACTAACAAGCTTTTTAATCATTAACTCACATTTAATTACAGTCGGGGCAACAAGAATTCTAAGATTACAAGGTTTTACAGTCCCATATTCCCCACTGATTTTTGTAACTTAAGTAATCTTATGCATAAATGTAGGCATCCATTGTATACAACAACATGACAGTAATAAGCATATACACACAACTATGATGACAAGAAAAAGTTGCTTTAACCATTGTAGGTTGGGCAACCACTTAGTTAGCCATTTGAACAAGTCCCCGCCATCTTCATCATGTACTCATTGAGCCAGATCTTCTAATTGTTTTACCTTTTCTTTGATCTTTGGACCATTATCGGTAACATTGAAA